CCCACTCGTCGCGTTCGGGATTGATACCTCTGCGTGTGGTCTCCTTCTCTCCCTTCCTTCCTCCTTCCCTCTCTCTCTCTCTCTCCCTCTATCTCTCAGTGGTGTTGTCGTTGTCTCAGTCGTGTTTTGGTCGCCTTTCAAAAGTCATCCTTGATGCTTGTTGGATATACTCATACCGCCCTTGGGAATCATATATGCCTAAGTTAAACCCAACCCTTACTACTACTCAAGGAGGGTGTAGAGAGTGGAGCCAGACCGGAACTAGTATCATACAATGTAAGTATGGACTCCCGCAGGTGTACCATGAGGCCGGGAAACTACCACAAACTTCACAATACCGAGACACACCCATGACACACCCACAGAGCAGTGCATACGAACGAGGCGGTGCACTGACAGCCTGAGAGAGGCCAACAATCTCAACACAAATTCCTACCTAACCTAATCTAGACCTAAGACCTCTACCCAACCTACCTCCTCTACCCCGCCCATGGTGAGTACACGAGACATGACCCTGAGATCATTGGACCACACACTACACACAACCCACACCCACACCCACACCCACACCCACACCCACATGCACACTCGTCGGACCACCCCAAAGCTAACCACGCAAACAACCCTCCCCCAAGGCCCTGCTACCAGCATACTACAACCATGGACTAAACCCCTTGGGTGGTGTGCAGCCAGTGTCTATAATAATTACCTTGCGTCAGCCCAAGTGGGAGTGTGTGAATGGCTTGTGCGCTATGAAAGCGTTGCCGGTGTATGTGCACGAGGCAATGGTGTTTTGAACCCCCAACCTCATACCACAATGCGCATTTCCAACCGGTGCTCTAACCACTGAGCTAACGACCATTCACCTGTTTGTAACTTTCAAGTTTTTAATCTTTTTTCTTTTTTTTTCTTTTTCTTTTTTTTAAATGCTCCGATCTATTGGTGGGGAGCCACACCTGCTGGAAACCGGGTCCAGCGTCCCATGATACTTTCACAATACATACGGAATGCCAACACATTTGTCTGCCTGCCAACATTGATTGCCCTGGCTCGCAGGGGATTAACTGAGCAGGATGTGAATTGGCTGTGGTTTGCAGGAAAGGAATTGGGAGGAAAATAGGTCTCTTCGCCCTGCTGCATAGCGCCTGACCGTTCTTGTCTTCCTGGCCTCCTGCCTCCCTTTCGGTGCAGCCTTCTGGGATTCCGAGATGTCGTTCTTATGAAG